CTGAGAAAACAAGCCCTAAGAGAGATAATAAGACCTAAATACACTCAACCATTGACAGTGGTCTGGTATTCCTGTTTGTTCAACTTTATGAACCCATATTCCTTAGAATCCACGAGTGTGAGTTGGACAGATTTTTCATGATGTCACTGTGGTGACATCCAAGACTTGGGGTTTGGCTTTGATGACAACTAAAGATAGAATGGTTGGTCAGTTTTCCTTAAATAATTTTCTTTACTTTCTTTGTTTCCTTGGTTGCTCCAAAGCAAGATTCTGTTATTACTGGCTTCTGTGGACACACTACCATCTACAGCACAGAAACATCACCCCAATTTGCAACTCTAGAGTTAAACCTTAATTTTCACCTCTTTCCAATAAATGACTCCCAACTGAACCAATTAAATTTCAAAATCTAAGTATTTTAGACATAACAGGGCTTCTGTAAACAATAAAATAGTTAATTATTAAACAGTTAATAAAGGGTCTTCCATTGATCTATAAATCTGAAAATATCTGCCTCTCATTTTTCAACATGTTTATGTGATGGGATATCTCATTCTCTCCATATGAATGCATTTTAGGTTAAGCGTGAAAAATTTAAAGTTAAACCATGTCAGAGAACAAGAAATTCGCAGCTCAGTCTCTGTTTCCATATCACATAGTCAATGTTTTAAAATATCAGTGTCTGATCCCCAAGGACTTGCCAAATCAGAATCTTCAGGGGCAAACATTTAGAATTTCTGTACTTTAATGTGCCAGAAGTGATTCTCATATGCAATTAAAATTTGAAATGACTTGAGAAGACTTTCGACATTTGTGAAGCAGATATCCTGAAACTCTACAGAAATCCTTATATTAATTGTTCCGTAAAATGTAGTTACTTACACAAGTCTTCATTTAGCCATTAAAAATTTAATAAATGGGAGAGATTCATGAGTGACTAAGACAAGAATAGTCCCCATTTCAAACAATGTATTTTCTCCCACATAGCTCTTGATCTTTTGCCTGTCACCACTCATGTGACAATTTCTGTTAAAATTAAAATTTTCTTTTACAATATTCCAGGAATTCTTCAGACTATTAAGCTGAAAGTTCTCATTCTTAAATTCCATTTTAGTCAGTTTAATGAATTGGGCCCATATGCAGAGCTGCTCCCACTTCTCTTTAGAAGGTAATTGACACACGAACATGGCATTCAATATCCAATAGCCTCTCATGATACTACAAATGAACAGCTGTACAGAGGAAGAGAACTGAGCTGAGCGAGAGAACATGGAATTATGATCATGAGTCTCCTAGTTCACTCATGTCAGTTCCCCTGGTTAGCTAATACATATATTTAATGTATAACAAGTATCATCCAAAAATAATTTTAGAAATAATTATCACAAAGGTGGTAGCAGTTACAAGGGAAGCTTTTGTCCTACATAAAATTCCCTTTTGCGATTGTAAAAAGCTTTTTGGGAGGTCCAGGGCTTCTCCAGATAGTTTCGCATTACCTCATTTGTGCCACGTAATGGTCATGTATCAGCGCAATATAAAACTTACACAACACAGAGTGTAATTTGTTTTTTCCAAACTCCTTCCTTTGAACTTTTTACCTTCTCACCCATACTTTTCAAGAGAGAATTGTCAACATGAATCATCCCGACCACTGTTTCTTCCATCTTAGGAAGCATCTCTTCTTTCCATGTATCTTGTCCTGTCCTGTCTTTGCCTGAATCTTTTTCTAATTATGATCCATCCATTTCTTTATCTTCCATCTATCCCTCTACACTATTTCCTTCACCTCAGGTGTCTATAAAAATACTCAAGTCCCTTAAATTCTGAAAACAAAACAAAAATCCCTTCCCCGGTCCTCTATCGCCCTTCTTGAAATAATAGACAGCTCTGCTAGCTAGATTCTCCCACCATCCTTCCTCTTGCCTTCTATTCACTTCTCATGTACAATTTCGTGGTCAATAGTGTCCTATATTTACTACATCTGGAGATTCTTGCTAAAATCTCTAAAGATCTCCAAACCTAGTTCTAAGCTAAGCTTCTCACAGATTTTTACTCTATTAAAATACCTACTACTTCTTCAAGCACTCTTCACCCATGACTCCTGGAATGCATCTTGTATTGGACTCTTTTTTGGTGGCTACTTTGCATTACCTCTTAAGGTTATCTTTCCTTTTCGGGGACCATTAATTTTTGGAATGTGCTCAAGTTTCAATTTTTAATTTAATTTTTAATGTTCTAGAGGAATTAAATTATTAGTCATAATAACTGAAGTGGTAGAAGTTGGTGAAATTAACACGTGAGGACACGTGGAGGAGAGAGCAATCAGAGGATGTAATAAAAACAAAAAGGCATGGTAGAAGGGGCTAGAAGAGGAAAAGAAGAACAAGTCAATGTGTGAAATGTCTCAATCCCCAGCCTCATCCTCCCTGAATCCCCCAAAAACTCAAGCAGAGTAAGAACTTTCTTTCAGATTCTATTTGGAACTTAGGTACTTTCTGCATGAAAATCGATTGTAAGGAATTTAGGAATGAGTAGCTTTTAAGGAAATGAAATAAATAAAAGAAGTCTTATCTTTGAGGAAATCAGACATTGAAGGATAGAGCAGAAGTTAATGCACATGTGAATGTGTACCCTATAATATTTAAATGATTGTCCTGTAACATTAAAAATTCTCTTAATCACATTTTGCAGGACTTGTTTTCAGAACCCTAAGAGGAGGGTGTTAAGAATTGCCCTAAATTTAGAATTAAAACAATGACTACAGCTCAAACACACACTATTTCTTATACTCTCAATCAGCACTCCAGGCCTGGTCTGTGTTTATTAGGTGAATTTAAGAAAGTAAGCTTCTTGTAATGTATTAGTCAGTGATGGACCACAGAGATCTAACAAAAAGTTAATACAAAGAAAGAAAACCACCCTAAGAATAATAACAAATGCTTGAGTAGGCGAATTAATCTAAGGGTCCAAGCATCACATTACTCATTAAACAGGCAGGTGCCTGCTCTTTCCTTCAAGGAAAAAAATACTGATGGGCTACACCCTTCTTTCAAAAGAGATAAATCATTTTGAGGGTATATATACCAAGAAAGTGGCAGCTAGGGTTCTAGGCTTTGCTTTTAGCTAAAGAATCTGGTTCAAAATATTTAAGAAACTATAGATTCTTTAAATGTGAACCTCTATGTAGAATAAAGAGCTGTCCAAGAAAAGGTTATGGTTTAGTTGAAAGAATTTTAGGATAGGGGCTCAAAATCCTGAGTTTATATGCTGGCTCTGCTAGTTATCTTGGATAAATCACTTAGCTTCTGAGTCTAGTTTTCTTCAGTTAAAAAATGAAAAAAGCTAATATCCATTTCACAGGATCAGAAGGCACAGATGCTTTAAAATGCTAGATATATATAATACAATATTATGAAAGATGAGCTTTACCATGGCTGAGTGACTAAAAAAGCCTTGCAAGTCAAAGTCAGACATTTTATCATAAGGTGATGCTCTTATTTGAGACATCTAAGCAAGGACTAATATTTGATGTTCGATGTGCTTATATAAGGTAGGCAAACCAAAAAATGTGTAGTATCTTCTTCAAAAATGTTTTATAAATCTATTTGTGAAAAGGCAAATCTACAGTGTACGAATGTTGTACATACAGATGTTTTTATTCTCTATCCAAGTTCCGCTGACCTTAAATACACTTACAGGATTAATTTCATAATTAGTTAGATATAAATCAGTAAAATTTATTGCATTTCTGAATTCAAAAGCTGTTTTCCTTCCTCTGTGTACCTAGGTATCTTGCATTCATTCTATTTGCCCTAAAGAAGAATATGAATACCTAGTGAATCATGAGACTTAGGCATGACCACTGAAAGATTACAAATCAGCAAATTATAGGAAGATTAAAATAATTATGGGTGGAGTATGTTATTTCACTTTTGTGACACTTATACAGAATTATTTCAGTTAATCTACTTCTTTTTAATTTTATGTTTAACTACATTTTAAGTTACAAACAGGCTTAAAGGGAGTAAATTTATGGCAAGGGTCATCATTAGGTATAAATTTGCCTTAAATAACCCGTGTAAGAAGCCAATTATTGCATCAAGCTGGAACATTTCAGTAATTTGAAGTTAATGTTCAGTTTTCTAAATCCCCCCGTTTCCTGCTCTAATGTTTCAGGTAGATAAATGCTAAACATTTAGAATAATAAAACTAAGATTTAAAATATATACTGACCATGTGGAACCAGAAAGACCAGCAACATAGGTAGTGCAATCCAAAATTCCTGATTCATACAGTGCCTTCATCACGCCAGAGAATCCTACCATGGCTCGAAACCCCCCACCTGAGCCCAGTATGGCGACCACAGGTACCTGGAATGATGAAACACAGAGATCATTTGCAAAGTAAAATTATAAAACACATTTCCTTTTAGTTTCAATTTTTATGTTGTATGTTCCACATTTGGTAATAAAGAATTACATTCACAAATACTTTGACATTGTCTAATAATTTTTAAAAAGAAGAAAATAATGTTTCATATAAGAAATCAAGAATTAATGTCTATTGGAAAGCAGGTGTTATTAAAATAACCAACTAGTCCTATTCGATAATAATTACAACGATAATCTTCTATATTTGTTCAATGCTTTGCATTTTAGGCTTGCTTTTAGGTGTACTTTATTTTACTCGATCCTTTCAAAAGTCCTATAAGGTAAGCAAAAATTTCCATTTTGCAGATGGAAATTCTGAAATATTATTTGCATATGACCTAGTAGCTGGTAATCTGTAAAGTAAATACCTTTCCTCCTTGGGCTAGAATTCTTACTGTTCCTTTATGCTGACCCATTATTTTCATTATGGTTTTGCAGTAATTCTTAGAGAGGACTTTCAGGTAAGATTTTTGAAGTCAGATATTTTGGGTTGCTATCAGGTAAAAGAAAATGCCATGTATTTGTACATAAAAATTGAATAATCAAATAATTGAATGATTGCTAAGAATATAATTACCACCTTCATTTATTACACATGAATTAATCTGTTTTTAATGCATCATAACATTTAATTTTCACAGCTGTATGAGATAAATATTACCTTCATTTAGAAAAAAAAGTGTCTAAGGCCATGCTACCCTGAACAAGCCTGATTCCATCTGATCTCGAAAGCTAAGCAGGGTTGGGCCTGGTTAGTAATTGGATGGGAGACCACCTAGGAAGACCAGGTGCTGTAGACATAAAAAATAAAAAAATAAGGGATTGTAAACTGATGAGGTCCTTGCAATCTGTGAGGTCAAATAAGGGTTGCCTCACATTAAAAAAAAAAAAGAAAAGAAAAAGAAAAAGAAAAATATTAAAAAAAAAAGAAAAAGAAAAAGAAAAAAGTAATTAAAACACAAGATAATTTTGCCATTGTTGCAAAGCTAGAAAGAGGTATACTGTGGATTCAAAGCTGGGTCCATCCAACTCCAAAGTATTTAATTCACCATACTCCACTCTGTCTCTGAAAGCTCTCTCTTCAACTAACAACCCTCAAAGGAGACCACTATTATTTCCACTTTTCAGATGAGATATTCAGTGCACACAGAACACCTTGTCCACATACTGATAGCTAATAAGTAGCAGGACCAGGATGACACCATAATTCATGCTCTTTACCTTTTCTCATTGTTCAGAAAGAAAGGAGTAATCTTTATTGAGAGAAACCATTTGATATTCAGCTAAATGGTGTTTCAGATTCATGTATCACTTCAGATGATATTGGTACAGATTTATGCAATAAACGAAGGCTAAATTTGAATGTTTTAATAGTCTTGGTAATTCTGATATAACTGTCAAAAAATAACTGGTGAGTTATAAGGTGCAGCTGTTAGTCCTGGCTCTAAATCTAAAAGAAGCAAACAAATAAGTGTTGTTCAGGGTTTTTAGGTTATATTTAGATCTAATAGCACCGGGATTTGTGTATAAATGTTATCAATGACTATTTCTCATACTTCTCTCATGTGATTACAGGAAATGAATTTGCATTTACCAAAAACTTCTGGTTTCGATTACTTATTTTGATACATGGACTTACTAATATTATTATAGGTTATATGTATGCCTATGTATACATGTATATGTATGTGTGTGTGTGTCTATATGTGTGTATTTCTGTGGTTTATTAGAACTCGTGGATTTACTCTGGGTCATTATATGCCAACAGAGAGAGAGAGAGAGAGAAGAGAATGATTTATTATAAGGAACTGGTTCATGTGATTATGAAGACTGCCAAGTCCAAACCTGCAGTTCAGATCAGCAGACTACAGACCCAGGAGAGTCAATAACGCAGTTCTATTTCAACGGCTAGCAGGCAGAGGCCCAGGAGAGCCAACGGTGCAGATGACATCTGAAGGCAGTCTGCTGGGGAATTCCCTCTTGTTTGAGAGGTTGGTCATTTTGTTCTATTTAGGCCTTCTACTGTTTGGATGAGGCCCACCCACATTATAGATAGAGATCTGCTTACTCAAATTTCATTGTTCATCTCATCAAAATACATCCTCCAAGTTGATATATAAAGTTAATCATCATAAGTCTACCCCTTCTCATCTTGGCACCCATGTATATCTCCTTAATCCATACTTAATCTCCAAATAAGTCTCCAAGTATAACAAGGTCATACTTTGGCCAACGTGAAACAACTCTCTTGTGTACAACTGGAAATGCACTAATCCTTTCCTTAGAAGAGGATATGAAGTTCTTGAATGATATTTGTTCTTCTCCTTAATAACTTATAACTTAAATATGAATCTGTTTTTGTGCTTCTACGTGCACACTCATATGTACATACATATGAAACATACAAAAACATATTCATAACTAAGGAAGAAATACTCATGGCAATTACAGTTTTCATTTCTGTAACTGGTCGCCTGGTCATAGCTGGTATGTGTAACTACATTCTCCCACTATGCATTCTATATTCTCTTTGCCTTCAACAAGCACCTCAGCTGACCATGGTTCTTTACCTGGTGAGTGACCCAATCTTCATTCCTGAAAGGTCTGGGCCATTAGAAGTCCTTCCTTGATTGTGCTCTTGTAGCTTTCCATTGACCTTACTCAGAAGACATGATAATATTAAGGGACTAGGGGTACCTTGTATTCCAGAAATTCTCTTCCTTACCTCTATTGTGGAGAAATGATACAATTTTCCTTTGGTAGTCAGGATCGATTGCCCCGGCCAGCATGCTATCACCCTTCTTTGCCTGTTGACTCAGAGGCATGAGGAGCCCAAAGTGGCAAGGTGGCAGTCTTAACTTCCAGTTCAACAGAATAATTGTTCCACTCATAATGGAAGCATTCCTCCCTTTGGAACTCAGACCTCTAAGCCAGCAGAGTATACAGTCATGTGGACAAGAGGCAAACTTTTTGCTAGTGGGTCCCTGGGGTAACAGTGAGTGCTGCCACTGCCACCTCCACCTTGATTCCTGGACCTATAAATCCTAGGGATTAATAGCACCACTATTAAATGCTGATTCAGAGCAAGTACATCCCATTGCAGAACCTGGCCCAGACCTTGTAAGGTACTGTCACCTAGCTGGCACTATAACTGGGTCTTCAAAAGGCTATTCCATGGTTCCATCAAACCAGTTGCTTCAGGATGGTGGAGAACATAGCAAGACTGGTAAAGTCCATCACATGGAGCCATTGCCATACTTCATTTGCTTACTCAAATTCGAACGATGTTTATTCTCTGAGTAAGCAGAAGCAATGCTGTGTGGAATATTGTGACAGTGGATAAGGCATTTTATATGTCCGCAGATGATAGTTTTGGCAGAAGCTTTAAATGCAGAGAAGGCAAATTCGTATCCAGAATAAATATCTATTCAGGTAAAAAAAAACAAGAACAAGAACAACAACAACAATAACAACAAAAACCCTGACCCTTCCACGGTGGAATTGGTCCAATGCAGTCCATCTGCCACCTGGTAGCTGGCTGACCACACCAGGGAATGGTGACATGTTGGGGACGCAGTGTTGGCTTCTGCTGCTGGCAGATTGAGCACTCAACAGCAGCTATAGCCGGGTTGGCCTTGGCGAATGGAAGTCCCTGTTGCTGAGTTCAGACATAACCTCCAACTCTGCCACGATGGCCACTTTTTCCATGACTGTACTGGGCAATGACCACAGCAGCTGGTGAAAGGAACTTACTGGCATCCACAAAACGGGTCATCCTATCCACTTGATTATTAAAGGTTTTTTCTGCTGAGGCCACCCTTTGGTGGGCATTGTCATAGAACACAAATTATTCATATTTTTCACCCATTCAGAGTGGCTTCTCTTCATCACCAATTTTCTAATCGTGTTCCCTCAACATCCCTAACCATACAGCCAAACCGGTGGCCACGGACCATGAATCTGTATATAATTGCACATCTGGCCATTTCTCCATTCAAGCAAAATGAAAAACGAGGTGTAATCCTTGAACTTCTCCTCCCGGTAAGAGTTCTCTTCACCACTGCCTTTCAGGGATGCCCCAGAAAGAGCTGCAATTTTGCAGCTGTCTGCTTTCAGGTAGTGCTTGAATGTCGTGTAAAACCATCTGTAAACAAGGCCCACGTGTTCTCTTCTCTGTCAGTTGGTCACAGGGATCTCTCCCATGGGGTTATAAGTGTGGGCTGGAAGAAAGAAGGCAGTGTAACGGGGCTGGGCATCATGGGCATTTGGGCCACTCCCTCAGGTAACTGACTTGACTCTTCAGGGCCTGTTCAGCCCAATCTCATATAGTGTATCACTTCCATTTGATGATGATATACATCTGTGCACGCTCAACTTTATGGTTTGGTGGGTCAAATAATACCCAGTTCATGATGGTCGGCTCAGATCACATGATCACTTGGTCTCCTATGGTTAAGTGTTCAGTCTCTACTCACACCCAGTAGCAGGCCAGAAGCTGTTTTTCAAAAGGAGAGCAGTTATCCACAGAGGATGGCAAGCCTTGCATCAAATCCTACGGGCCTATGCTGTAATTCACCTGTAAGAGCCTACCAAAGGCTGCATACAGCATCCCTATCTGCCACTGACACTTCAAGCACCAACGGATCTGAATGGTCATATGATCCAAGTGGCAGAACACCTTGTACAATAAGTGTACCTGTTGCAGAGCCTTCTCTTGCTCTGGGCCCCATTCAAAACCAGCAGCCTTTTGGGTCACTTGGCAAATGGTCCAGAGCAGTACACTCAAATAAGGAATATGCTACCTCCAAAATCCCAGTGGACCACCAGGCATTGTGCCTATGATTTTTTAGTCATAGGAGTGGACAGATGCAACACCCTTTCCTTCCTCTTAGTAGGGATATCCTGACATACCCCACACCACCAGATGCCTAGAAATTTCA